AGGGAAAGCCCCCATACTGCTAGCTATATGAAGCGTCCCATTTTCCAGAGAAATTCTGCTAATTCTACAGTCATGCCTGTGGCAGTTATCCCTCCAACCCTACGTTATAGCGTTACAATTGTAGTGGGAAAGTTTGTTGCAATAAACAGGCAAATCCAGACTTGTTAATGAAAAAGACAACAAATGGATTTGCTTTGTGATGAACATGCAGAATAACAGGATAGCACCCACTTTCAAAAAGCAGAAGCATAGCTGACCTGTGCTGAATTTGGAGGTCTTGGAGTTATCTTCCATAGCAAAATACTTCCAGGAATAACATAGACACTCTCAGAATCTGGCAACGGCATCTCATCTGGTTCCTCAGTATTGCCCACCTGAAGGCAGCACACAAAGAAAAGAGGAGGAGTTCTTTGGAGTCATAAACCATTTACACCCATTCATTCCATCACTGGAACTTACATAAAATTATTTCCTTGACTAAAAGTAAATAATTTCAGCAACAAAAAGACTTTTCTAGATGCTTGTCAAGAAGGATAATGGCATTAACATACCATACATACTCCCAATTCCCTCCCAATGGAAGACTACCCACAGTTTCTTGCATCAACATCTTCATAGATATAATCTGGATGTTCAAGCGTTAAGAAATGTCAATTTTTCCACCACAGATATGTCCCGTTTCCTCAAACACAAGCGTTTCCATGCCTGATATTTAACTCCATTACTGCTTCATTAAAGTTGAAGAACAGAAGTCACATTCCTCATCCTTCCACATCAAAGAAACGCCAGCACATAATGCAAATGCTGTCTTCAGTTTGTGCACAACAGAAAGCCCTATGCTACTGCTCTTTGCTCAGAGGAACCTTCCTTTCCATTGACCGCCACACTACTAAAATGGCAAACTGCAAATGTTAAAACAAATATCCTAGATTAGCTACTTCTTCTGGGAAGGGTATCCTATGAAGGCTGACCTACACAGCCTGAGGCAGCTGCAGCCACAGCACTGTGAAATGGTTTTCCCAGAAAGACTCCACCCAGGGTTACTAGGGCAGCAGAGAATAACTGGTGGTCACAGCGTATACGTGACCTGAACTAGTTCTAAACCATCACCCTTTTTACACACAGCTTTAAAGCAAGCTGGGGTCCAACGCTGCTGACATTAATTCCGCCGCACAAGCGTATGTTACAATACTGAACTAAAGCCAGCTAGACAATGAATACGGCTCTCCCAAGAAAACTTGGTGTCACTATCACAGCTAAAAACAGCAGCACATTTCAGAGACCACTGAAGAGTAAACCACAGGGAAGTGGTTGAGTCTCCATCTCTGGAGGTATTTAAAAGAAGGGCAGACGTGGTGCTTGAGGACATGGTTTAGTGGTGGACTTGGCAGTGATCAGTTAACAGTTGGACTCGATGATCTTAAGGGTCTTTTCCAACCTTAACGATTCTATGATTCTAAAGCTGAACTTAAAGGCAACTAATACTTTAAATACTTTGGCTACATGCCAACAGCTTTAATCCTGCTGCTAATAAGCTTTGCTCTCTGATAGCTGTGTCAGATAATACAGACTGATGTTTTAGTGCAAAAAAAAAAAAAAATCCAGTACCCAAACTGGACTCAGTTGTCCTCTGAGATGATTCACGTGTTAAGCCTCCAAGAAAATTAGGAAGTATCAAGGATTCTGTTTCACTGTGGAGCACTTGGGTACAGTGTTTTTAATAACGAACAGGTTGCAAAGTAACCAGAACAACATGCAGACCAGGTTCAGCCCCTCAGCTATTAGGAAGATAAACAGGGCTTTTAGCTGACTACATCTGAACTGTGCTGGCAACCTGCCATTCTGTCCTTTAAAGGACACTGATCAATCTTTCAGAAATCAGGAATTTGAAGCAGAACAGATCAGAAAGATATCCTTGTATTAAAACAAGACACTTCAATACCAGACTGCCAAACTCCAAACCAACTTTTACAGAAAGGCTACAATACACACCACAATTTGTGCCTTGTTGGATACATAATCTTAAAAATGTCATAAGAATTACAAAGAACTAGGTAAAAACTGGATTTTCATGTGCTCTTGCCACAATGATCCATATATTATGCTCAGCAGTAATCAACCTCCCAGTATATTGCTAGGAGGGCAGTAACAGACTTTGCCAAATCAAGACCTCTGGTGTCTGTAAACGAGGCACGTGTGAGGGCAGTTGCTGTTGCCTTACATTATGCTCTTCCATATATTTGCACTAAAAACTCTGCACGAAATGCAGTAGACCCAGGTCTACTATAACTCTTCTGATGTTGGTAAAATCTCACCTTTGCATACATGAAGGCTTGTCTGGCCCTCTGCAAAATTATTTTTCCTTGAGTTTTATCCCTATAAAAATCAAAGGGCATCAGGGGAAAATCTGGGGCAATTTGCAAAAGGACTTGCATCCAAGTAGTTCCCCTAAAGGGAGACAGAAGTGATTCTTCATTAGTAGCAATGCAGCATGAAGGAATAACTGGAAAACAACTAAATAAACCTGAAAATGTAAATTAGGAGGAGTTTGAAACACCATGTGCTTTCATGCCTGAATGAATCCTTCACTACCATGAAGGGACAAACCACATCCAGACTTGGCTCACCTAGATGCTAAAAAATCATAAACAAAATCAACTCCTCAAACACAAGGGGGCAGTGGGAATACATATTTAACAAAGTCTGCCTGATTCATAGTGTGCATTACAAAGCTTTCAGTTTTCTACACAGAAATAGTTCTATTAAATGAGTAGAGAAAGCATGCTTTTCTAGAGTCAGAGGAACATTCCAGCTTGAGCTTTATGCAATAGGATGCTGCTTTTTGAAGTGCAAAGCAAGGATCATCTTAAGCATTGTTGGAAGATGCAAAGTGGTAGCTGAACAAAGGCACAGGGTATGTTTTTCTTTGTTCCTTCTCCCTAGAGCTCACAGGGTCAGACTCGAAGAGAAGCAATAATCCCCAGTGCTTTAGCACTCTCCTGATGACAAGCACTGGAGCAATCTCAGATACAGCAACAATCTGAACCTGCACAGGAACAACTGCTTTCAGAGTTCTCTGTCTCTTTTTTCTTAAGTATAAAAACTACCCACACCCAAACCAACAAAAAAAATCTGGCATCAGTCACCAAAGGGTAACAATCCCTGTTTTAAGCTACTATGTGAGTGGTTGTTCTTCATCAAGCTGTATATTGTCACCATAAGCATATGTATGTTCACCTTAAACAACGAGCATACTGCTGACCAGAAATCTGGAAGAATTAAGAATGAGGTTTTTTTCCCAGAAGAAAAAAAATGCAATTGTGGAGGGGGAAAAAAAAAAAAAAAAAAGCAAGCATTTCTATGGTTGTGAAAATTTAATAAAAAGCAATACAAAAATTCCTTGTAAAAGCTGGAAAATATGACCCTCTATTAAGATGAGAAACTAGTCTATCCTGCCTCTAGGAGTCCAAATCCTCCTATTAGAATATAAATGTTATCATACACGATCAGAACCATGGTCTAACTAATGGATATCTATTTCCTCCATGTGACTTGGGAGGAAGAGGCAGGTAATGAACCAGTCACTACTTAGATCACTCCAAGTTTTGGGAAGTTTGAATACAAATCCTTGAGAGAGAAAGCATTTTATCCCTTAACGCTGGTACTCATCCAATCCATTTTGTATCTTACTAGGAAAGTGAGAATAAGTTAAAAGAAGTCTTAATGCTCTTAAATGCTACTAAAATATTTAGCTGTCTTATCATGCTTTTGAGATACCACGTCTTTACGTGATTAGTACCTGTTTACCGCTTTTCTTCTCTTCTGCATTCTTCTTGTCATTTTTTTTGTAAGCTTCGAACGTAGCTGGGTCAACACTGTACAAACACTCAGTCCACTTCCCATACAGCGCACAAAGTTTCTTTTTGCTGTTAAAAAAAAGACTAAATTTACAAAGGAGCTTAAAGAGATTTATTACATCATTTCAGACAAAAATATTTGAAAGAAGAACTTTTGAGAGCAACTCTTAAAGCTCCATTATTGGTGCTGCACAATTCATAACCTTGCTGTTGCAGGTTCATGCCCTTCACAGACTATGTTAAAGGCATTCAGTTCTACAGCTCCCGTCAGAAACAGAGGGCAGCCATTTGTTTCCTCTCGGGAATGAAGCTGTTACCTTTTGTCCTGAATGTAGCCTTCAACTTTGTGCAACTCCTTCCCAAAGAGGCCGCAGGGCTTGAAGCTTAGTACACACTTCTCACCAGTTCTAAAGGCAGAACAAGAGGGCACTAATTACTTCCAAATACTTTTCCTCTTCAAACTTGCAGCAAGTGAAAGGATTCACACTCTTAACTTACTTATGGTTAGTTATTTCCACATTTCCATACTGCTCAATCCAAAGTTTGCCCACAATAATGTTATGCACACAGCACGTAGGATTTGTCCACGTGTAGGCTTCATTGTGTCTAAGGGAGGGGAATGAAAATTAAAATACGTTATCTTTGTACTGGATGCCACTCCTGCAACAAGCCATCATCTATAAATCGCACCAAGTCTTGAAATGGACACAGCAATAAGTCAGGAAACTCAAGAAGTTTATTAACGTATTGCTACTGATTTTATCAATTCCTTGAAACAACCACTTCAGTGCAGTCACTGTTATCACTGAAGGTCATGAGGAAAGCCGACAGGACTCAAGCGTGCTAGTCTTAGTAGGACTGACACCCAGTTGTCTGCAGAACATACAAACACAAGCCCCAACTACTGCTACTATTAGTATGCCGTATATTAGGAGAAACGATAGCAGTTCCTTTCATCTTCTCATCCGCTCCTCCCCACAAAGCGATCTGCCACCAAATATTAGGATGTGGGTGTTAGACATGTTCGTTCCTAAGCCATGAAACACTAATGCACACTCATCATCACGGATGTGGCCACTGTGCCTATGCAATTATTACTTATCAACTTACTCAAGAAGCTCCAAAGTCATTGTGCCTTTTGGTTCTGCTTCCACGCTCTTGCCCCAGAATTTGAGTTTAGGATAAATTGACCCATGAAACACAAAATCATTATTTAAACCTTCAGCATAGAAAGCACTGATTGGTGGATGATGGCTAACTTGCTCTGAGAGAAGTCTAAATCCAAGATCATCCCTGCAAAATAAAGATAACCAAAAGCATGTATCTACATATCAAGTGCAGTGAAGTTGCAGTTTTTTTTCCCCGGGGTGAAACAGATAGTTGAACCCATGCATAGTTGCTGTACTCAGTGCAAGAGTCAGTTAAAACCCTAGGATAAAACAAAAAGATAGACCAACTAATACACAGAACATCCTCATTCTAAATAACTGAGGACATAACGTAAAAAGGTAACAAGAACTACCACATCTGATCAGCCAATATATTTACTTTTGATAGTGACCTCTTTCTTAAACTTTTGCATAAACAATAGGCCAAAACCTCACCTGAGAGAAAAATCTGCCATAAGTGCAGCTGCACACTAGGAGGCTAACATTGCCTATTTGTATTCTGGACACTTACATAATGAATATTACAATTCTAACACCTCCCTTATGTACCATGCATCTTTTCTTTCAGAAGGTTTCAGCAAAAAAAGTCATTTTTGCAAATAAAACTTGCTGTTAAACCTGGCAAATTGCATTTTCCTGCTCTGAGTTGAAAAGTTAAGTAGTTTCCCTTCACTGGGAGGTGCATTGCTGAACACCAACACGCATTGCAAGAGCCTCCAGCAGCTGCTAGGAGAATGGGTGGAATCTTACAAGCCGAAGAGCAGTCTGCAAGCCACCTGATGAGTCTAATGAAACATCAGTTACACAGAATACCACTCTCCACTCTTCAGTGCATTTTCTGTTCATTACCTGATCAATTCATATGTCTCTCCAAGCAATGGGTTGAACGGCTTCCCTGTACGTTCCCACTGTGAGGCTACAGCAGACACAGCAAATGCAGCAACACACTATTCAAAAGAGTAAAAGTACACAGCTGATCTCCTAGATTCTAGTCTTTATCAAGTATCAACAGCAGCCATGGTATTACAGAATGATTCTTCTGAAATAGCTTAGCAAAGTTCTGTTTGCAAGGCAGAGGAATAAACAGTTTTCATCAAAAGGCTAAAAAAGCAAGCCTTAGGAAAAGCAAAACATTCTCCTAAATAAGCAAAACTGGTTAATGAATAAGAGAATCCAACACGCAGCAAGTTACAGGAGTTCCTCCTATAACGAGACTATCTGTGAAGAAAAAAACCCCAACGCATTCATCAAGAGCTAACACGAATTACCACACCCGAAGTACCTGCATTCGCTCAGTTGTGCTGGAAAGTGAGCTGGCTTTGTGGATGAGGTATGTGTGCTCCATATATTCTGTAAGTCGCTGTAGAAAGCTCAGTGGCTCATTGAATATAACGGGCATTGTGATCTTCGACAACTCCTGAGGCACAAATGAAATTTGTGTTAGAAACCAAATGATTAGATACACTGACCTGCAGTAACCCGAGTGTAATTGGCTTATCACAAAAATAAATGATGCACTTAGTGCTAATGCAATGTGCTTGACCTGGCTCCACTAATGCTGAAAGGAAACAACCCTGTACATCCCTTATGAGCTTGATAAGCCTATCTGTGTTGACGTTAAGGCTACTAAGGCTACTTTTAAAACAAAAGAAAACCAAACATCAAACAAACAAACTTCCTATCAACAAATGCATTAAAAAGGTGAGATGAAACAATGGAATGAAGTATTAAGAACCCTTTTAAAGATTAAGTTATTTATTACTCTTAAAATAGATATAGGCCATCTAATTACTTAAACATATTATCTTTTTCGGAGGCAGGTGGGGGGAAGAAGGATGAGAAAGGACAGGGAGACATGGCGGCACAGGAGTAAAAACAGAGGTTCTGTATTCTGAAGAAAAAAGGAGTTTTTGTAAGAAGCATAAAAATTTAAAAAAAGTCCTACAGTTTTGATGCTGTTTCTCTTTCCCATTTTAAAAAGCATGCCCTCTGAATGCATAACATAGCAATGTTTTAAATTGCCTGTAGCAGCAATTTAAAAGCATATAGTATGACCACTGGCAATGTCCTCAGTAAACAGCACTGTTCTTAACCCTAATAGCAGCAGCTGGAACTAACAGCTTTGGCAGACACATTGGTACAATCCACTCCAAGTTCTGCTCTCCCCTGCCCCCCAAACTGCAACTTCTGTACAGCAATTTCTGCAAAGCAGAATTAAGACCTTTATGGATTTTTTTCCTGCACACACCTTATGCAAGACAGGGTTTCAATCTGCTTCGTATGTTAAGGTTATAACACTTTTCTGCTGAAGCCACTGTGAGAAGCCTCGGATGCTGCACAACAAGTCAGGAGACTTGGAGCTGCTGCTAAGAGGCATTCCCCAGCATTTCCACATCTCATTGCTTGGTGCTGTTTCTAACTACAGCAAGGGAAGGAGGAGAAAACAACAGCGACTAAACACACACATACCCTTAGGCTGACAGAGGTTTATCAGCAGTAAGTACTTCCAGCCTATTGCAGGATCTAAGGGAGAGAAGAACTCTTCTCAATTCACCCTTAGCTGGAAGCAGATTATGTGCCAGCCAGCCAACCTCTGAGCTGGCCACTATCTGGCCACTAACACCATGGGCGGGGGGAAGACTGAGATACTAAGGGGAAAGGAAAAGAGCAAAATTAAAGTAGTTGGTTTTTTTGGTTTGGTTTGGTTTTTTCACAGTCGAAGTAAAAGGTTTTTGCTTCCACAAGGTACTTTAAGGGTTAAAATCAAGAGAAAATGCTTTTACTGAAGGAATATTGCTCTGACCAAGTCTTACCTTCTCAAGCTGTAAAAGCAAATAAAGCATAAGCAGCAAATTAAAAGAAAAAAAAAAAAACCAACCCTCTCCCCAACAAGTTTTCATTTGGGCCTCAAATGAAACAATCACTTCACATCTTGTGTCATAGCTTTCCGATTACCTACCATTCCAATGCATTTTCTTAAGATACTCCAGATACTGAAGTCATTTCTGGAAAACATCGGAGATGGCAAGCTTGTTCTGTGGAAAGGAACAGGGAAGAAAGCAAAAGCAAGAAAAGTTTTCCATTACTAACCATGACTAGAGAAACCCGAATACTCTTTTTTGAAAGTAACGGTTTTCCAATTTTTAAATTAAAAACCAAGGGGGAACGACAGTGCTACTTTGAAGCACTTAAACTGTTTCACCTGCACAGAAACCTGAATTTCTCCAAAAACCAGAACCATTCCCTTCATTTTGCATAAGAGCAGTGGAAGAGAATTTCTACATCAGTTATCAGAACAATGTTTTCACAATGGCACCGTTAAGATATTTAGTTGTGTCTTTGTGAGAAGAAGCAAGTTCTTTCTGAGTAGGTATACAGGTACGTTCACTATGCCTGAAGAGATCTGAGGGTTAAAGTGGGTTGTTTTGTTTTGTTTTGTTTTTTTTTTGCTAGTCACCTGTATACTGACAATGAAGGGCCATGACATTTATTGCCTATATCAAAATCAGCCCTCAGGAACAACAGAAAAAGCAGCATAATTAAAGAACAGAAAACACAGCAGCCTGTTCTACATATCCTGAAGCAAGCCTTAAACATATTTTCAAGACCAACATTTAGGCTGTGTAATATAGCCTGTATTTCTCAGCTTTACGAGAAATCAGGCACAGATTTTGTTCAGTTTTCTTGACCAGCTCAACTATTAATCCAATTTACCTATACAAAGGTATAAATATATGACAAAGCCCTTTGTCCACAATAATACTAAAACTCATGTTTGGATCATGAAGCTATTACCAATGAGAAAAATTCTCAATAGAAAAGCATTACCTACAGCTCACTCAAACTGCATGAACTATTTGAGTTTCAAAGCTTAGTTAACTCTGTCTAAATGATCGTGTTGCCCTCCTAACCAAGAAGGTCTTGTCTCCCCTCAAAGTAGCTAAAGCAATATCTTTTTCAGAGAGTGTGAACAGGCTGTAGCTGCCTCCTCCACCCCACTTTTCTGATAAACAGAAACATCTCCAAAAGAAAAAAAAGCAAACAAACAACCAACTCTCTTCAGGCTAAGTTGTTAGTTTCAGTAGCTCTACTTGCTGTGTTACCTCCCATACTTATCTGATACTGAAACACCTTTACCAAGGGTGATGTTATTTCAGAAAGAACAAAACCAAAAAATGGTCCTTAAAATACAAAAAGCCGCATCCAATCAAAAACTTAGTCATATGTCTGAACTCCTCACGGTACCAAACTATGTTTTCTTAGCAAGTAGCTAACAGCCTAACACTGACTTGTTTTACTCAGCTCCCATGCAGGGGATGAGTGGGTAGGAGGATTTAATTGACCAACATGATATCACTCATTCCCTATTCTGATTTTCTACTGATACAAAAATATTTCATGAAACAGCTCATTTTGAATAACATTAAGTATAAAATACTTCCGTGGATGCTTTGATACAAATGTCCAGGAGAGGACAGTGTCCACCAAGTATTCAGTCTTACCTTCATTTGTAGTGTTTACCTATTTTTTCTACGTATTCTTTAATGAAGGCAGTTAGCAGAACAGGTATTTGTGTTTAAGTAAGCCCTTCTGCATATAAAACACACTCATGTGCCTCTGGTTTGCTGAAGTATACACAGGGATTGCTTTCCTTACATATTAAAACTTACATTTTCATTAAAGTTAACCTCCATTCAATTTGCTTAATTACTTGAAAGTTGGCATTCAGTTTCAGCCATTCATCCACACTTCTGACATATATCAGCCAACCCTGATATGGGATTCAGTTCTTTTCTCCACATAACACACACATACTGAAGAAACAAAGTAGTCTTAAGCCACCAAGAAAGATCCTGGGGACAAGTAAGGACATGTGGAAAAACGACAGGCAGCCAAGACATGAGGCCTACTAACCTTGACACACTCCCTGTGATTAAGGGAAAGGGTTGTGAATGCAAAAATTTCCTTCCAGATGTCAATTTTAGAAACAACTCAGGAAGTTAATTTTAGCTTTAACTGACAAAAACATCTGCTAGAATTCCTGTGCAGCAGAACAGATAAGATGCATTTAAGATCACTCACTTAAACAAAACCACTTGTTTGAAGCATTATCTATAGTAGATCAGCTACTACAGGAATCTTGTGGGGAAGAAGGTACATGGTGTGAAAAAGGGGTGTTTAGCTTGCTCTTCATGTAAACCTGATCAAATAACCTCCTGGCTCCCAAAAAGCCAAATACAAACACATTTGCATTCTGAAAGGCCCCCCACGGGAGGACCAAAGGGAAAGCTGACTACAAAAACTCAGCAATAAGAGGGAAATAGCAGTGATAAATGCATGTTAGATGTTGACAGGTATTACAGAACATTTTTGTGCAAGAATTGGGGGTGGGTGGAGTTGGTTGGTTGTTTCCTCTTTTTTTTTTTTTTTAAAAAAAGTTTGGCTCAGATTAAATATTTCCCTCTTAAAAAGAAGTGATTTGTATGCTTCCAGATTTAATGTATTGTTTTCCTATCTCTAAAATCCTCTTCCAAAAAGTTTTCAAAACTTTAAGTCCACTCTCGAATCAACCTAAACCACAAGAAGTCACGCCGCCTACATTCTTTCAAATGCTCTATGAACAATCAGTAGGATGCAAACTACATTTAAAAAAGCAGAACAAGACAGCAGATTATAAGTGGCACTTGCTTCACCTATCTATATATGTACATCTCAACACTTTTAATTCCTTGGAACCAACAGATTTATTCCTACATCTCCAAAACCAAAACACCCCCACACCCCCCATCAAAAACCGACCTCCACCTCCCTGTACAAAACCCTCACCACTCAAATAAGAGAGGCAGATTAGAACTCAGGTTTTCTACACGAAGGTAGGAAAGAGTCTTATTTATACTGACTGCTAAACAGTGCTAGGTACTCTCAACTCAAATGCAGCTGCAGATCCTCCATTCATCTGAGAAACTACAGGAAGGTATCAAGATTTTATGCAAAAGAAATTAATCTCATCTATTCTTTAAGTGACTTGTTTCCATGTGGTTAACACAAACAGAAGTTAAACAAAAAAGTTATAGCAAACCCAAGGGTTTAAGGTTGGAATTAAGTGCTGTCAAAATATTCTGACCCCCTCACTTTGCACAGCATCAAGAAGTTAAGGTTTCTACTCTGAAAAGTACGCAGGTGGCATCACAGGCAACACGTATTTGACCACGTGCCCTCTAACGAGTGCCAAAACCAAGAGAGGCACAAACTGGAGCCAGCAGCTCCAGGCAGGTAACAGTTCTGAAGTCAGAACTGCATTCAGACACGGCACACAGGTCCTGTACCAGGCCAAACATCACTGCCAAGAGCCTCAGAAACGAGGCTAGAAACACCACAAAACTCCCATCCCCTGGGAAAGTTCTCTTGGAGGTAAGATTTAAATTGTCTAAGCTCTGGGGAGAAACAGTTTGCATCAATACATTTGTGAAGAAATCCCAATGCATCACCAAGGTGCCAGGTAAAAAAGCTTGACATTACAGCTCAACCTATATGTGCTCTATAGCCATTCAGTCACATAAAATATGACCATACATTCTTATCTATACGCAAAACATGCTTCCCCCTTTCTTTAGCAGTAAATTATTAGCCAGCCAATTCGTGCACTCATTTTATTCCAACAACCTGTACTCTCTTCACTACTAAAAGACAGGCAACGAGAAACAACTTATGCAGGGGTACTTGTGTATTACTCTCCATTCCCCCTTATAAAAACAGCAGATCTTAAATGCTCCTCCAGTCACCTGCTCCCCACAGTTCTGACAACATAGTGCAGCACTACAGAAACCTGCCAAGTTATTTCTTTTTTATAGTAAACAGAAGATCAATTCCTGTTAAAACTCTTCATGTCAACATGCATCATCATTTTCATGTTGATCATGAATTGCCTCATTTCTCCTCGTTGTTTCCAAGGCAATGAATGTTCACCTTCACCTAGTGCTTCTCCCCCACCCCTGAACTTCCTGCTCTAATTAGGAAAGGCACTTAGCCAAGGCCATAAACACCACCCTTGCTAACAGCACAAGAGCGCAGAGTGACACGCTTAGTCAGCTGCTTTATGTTACCTTCCCAAACCACCCCGTTACTCCACCCAAGCCCTCATTTGCCTTAGTCTTTGCCTAGTATGGGAGGGATATACATGCAGAGGTTGAACCTTGAAACATCACCTCTCTGACGTTGCCACATACTTCAGCAGTCACTGCAATTTAACTCTTTAAGTTACCAAGTAATTAAAGCATATCTTGCTTGCGTCTGTAAAATTAAATATGAATTTCCTGTTTTTACAGAAATCTGGTGTCCCCATCATCATTCCCCACACTCAAAACACTTCCAGAGTAGCCTTTCTGAAACACACTGAAGTCTGGCTTGATCAGTAGCACAAACATTATATTGCCCCTTCACTGAAACTGGAGAATAGTGGTGTCTATTACATCTCACTAACTCCAGACCTATTGTCCTCCTTTATTGGAAAGGAAACAAACAAAAATGGATCATTTGACAACACAAAATAAGCACATAAAACATAGATGAGACTTTTAGAATAAGACTCCCTTTGTTCACATTTGAGTTTCTGATGCCAGGCTAGCAATATTTTTCATTCATTCCTGATACCAATAGAAGGATCAAATGACTGGAAATTAAAGAGGCAATAGGAGGCATAGGTCATTAAAGATACATGAAGGAATTAAAATCCACATAGATTTCAGTAAGATCTATTAAAAAACAAGCATGTCCATTTTTACATAGCACATTTTATTTTATTTTTACTTATTCAGATTTGATCACCAAAAAGCAAGATGCAAAGGAGCACACTAGACTTGGAAAAATATTCTTTATAAAATCATAGCACAATCAAGAACTTGTCAATCATCCCTAACAAAGTTTTAAAAGTTTTCACAGCTTTTCAGAGATTCCTGTGGTCTTTTACTCGCCATTAATGCATATTATAATACATGAAGACCAGGCAACATCCTACCTGTGTTTTTTGATTCCGTTAGACAGCGACTCCCCACTGCCACAAACCTTCTCTTCAGACATGCTTGAAGTTATTGTATCTTTCGAATCCATGCTGTCCTCTAATGAGTAGGCTGCTGTTGTTTCAAACCCACTTAATGATTTTTCAGATTCTGAATCTGCAAAAGAGCAGATGCATGTTAATGAACCTACAGCCTGTGCTAGACTTCAGTCACTAACAGATCTTCCCTCTTTGTACAAAACTGAAACCTAAGTAGGCTACTGTGTCCTGATCACAGTATCCATTTGGTAAGTAACTAGTACTGCCACGGACCGCTGCAGCTCTCTACCTAGGTACAGACTGAAGAGATTGCGAGATAAGCATGAACACAGTCGATTAAAAATTCTCTATCAAACAGAGCCAAAATCTGACATTTTTATGAAACTGAAGCTACTATGACTTACTTAGGACAAGTGACAGTGTCATGTAGACGCCGGTATCTTACCTACCTAAATACCAGCTACCTCAACATTCAAGTATTGACTCCTCCTATATAAGACTTCCGTTTGGTCTAAACTCTTATGCACTCTGTGCTGTTCAGCAACCTTCACTTCCCAACTCACTGAACAAGTATCAAAGAGAAGGAGGTATCGTACGCCGTGGATTACATTAGCCACGTAAATCCTAGCAAAGTCTAAATGATAAGTTCACCAATCAATAAGATAAACTTTGTACTCTGGAAGGTAGGTTAATAGTACAATCCACACCACACCTACAACTAAAACCAACATCAATAACACCACCTTATTTCCAACTAGTGTTTTGGTCAGGTAGTGCTTGACCAGTTCTGGAGAAGAGACAGTCCTGCCCCAAATCACAAAGTAAAAATTTCCTGGCAAAAGGCTGTGTTTTTGTTTCATGGGTTTTTTTCAAACTTGACAAGATTGCCAAAAGATTATCCAATTGCAAGTTCCAAGAAGCAATGGAACCACTCAAGACAAGTAAAGATGCACCAATTTCTATCCCATTTGGGAAATCCTTTAGCAGAAACCAGGTACAACCCTGAATGGTAAACAGCTTAATGCAAGCCTCACCGCTTTGGAAAAAAGTGAACCCAAACTGTAGTAGACACCATCCCGCTATGTACTTTTTTCAGCATATGCTACTGCTCTTGGCTGCAAATACCCAGAGAAATAATTGCAAGATTAGTCATTCTCTCACACACTGATTCTAATTCAAAACTAGTAATCAAAACCTGCTGAAGTAGTAGTCTATCCAAAAGAATATCTCAGTCACAGCTGTCCATTGCCAGGTGCTTTCTTGTTTTCTCTTAAAAGATGATGCCAGTAGCTTCTCCAGAACACATAAATTATTTGTTGCTTTAGTGAAGGTGACAGTGACAAGAGGATTTTCTACTACATCCAGGTTACAGAAGGGTCAAGAACAGGACAAAATCCTGACGAATGGATGGGCTGTGCCACAAGGTCTCCATCCTCTCTAGAGAGAGTGAGATCTAGAAGCATAAAGGAGATCTTTGCTTTCATTAAAAACATCTATCCCTATCCTCATCAAGACAGTACTGAAATTAAGCTAGTTGCTAGGGAATGAAAAGAACTGCCAGCTGGTGCTGAGGATATGTTAAAAAAGTGGACTGGCACTCCAGAGAATCTTCTCACAAGCTTCCCCAAATTTGTCGGTCTAGTTCTGTGCCAAATTATGATATAACATATCAAAGCATCAGTTTGGTGGGTACTGTATATAACAAGTAGGATAAGAAGAAGCATTTTTACTTGTGGACAAGTCTGTTACATAAAATACAGATTTCTCCAGAGACCCTAAGTCCAGGTAGCCAGGAAAACACTGTTGCATATCCAAATATTACAGAGGAAGAGACACTCTAGCAGTGTACCACTGCTTGGTGGTATATCAACTTGGGCCTCAGCATCCTGACCACATGACAAGCTATAAATCCCTTCAAAGTAAGTATTCCACCTCTCTATTGAAAGAGCTGCTCAACTGTGCCAACAGTTATCGTGACAAAAAAAGCATGAAGCAAACCCTGTAACATAAAGCAAAGAGTCCGCCTCCTGTAAGGCTCCTTTCTTCTTCTGTACCATCTGGGACTGCCTTGTTTTCAGGCAAGTGCCACAACACACAATTTCCTCAATTTGAGTTACTGCAACAGACCTAGGACTCCAGAGGTGGAAAGGGAAGAACAGGTAAGCTTCCCCAGAACTGCTGGCCCCTGTCTGATATGCTTCTCAGTATAACAAGGATTTTTAAGCACCACGCATGATCAGTTCTCCTAATGCTGGCCGTACAGTGCTGAGAGACAATTATGCTGGACTGAGCTCAGCACCTGCAAACCTCTCCAGAGCTGCAGACACCGACCAGCCAGCCTTCTCCAGGGCACACGCTTTGCTTAACACAACCAGATCATGCTATACAATAAAGAAGAGTAGAAGAATGAAACCAGACACTGTTACAAGAAATTGGTCTCTAAAGACATCTCTCCCATTTTCCTGAGAAATGGCTCTCATTGAGAAAGTATGTCTACAACACTTCCTGCCATCAGATATCAATCTCCAATCCCTAAACCTCAGCTACCTCCTTTGACCAAACGAGCTTAACAAGCCTTGAGAGTTTGTTAGGTGTCAGAGTGAACAAGCCTAGTATCGTATTGCGAGCACAGATCAACAGGCAACTCAAACTGAGCTTTTCCCTGTGTACTTGCAGCTAACTCTTTTCTGAATTAAGATTTGCATACTCCCCCGTCACTGCAAAAAAAGATTTATATTCACAAGTTGCTACAGAGCAGCTGTCAAACAGATGACTAGGAGAAAATGAGATTTTTTTTCTCTATTGAACTTAACGGGGTGTGGGCTGAGGAGCGGGGAGAAGGAATAAGAGTCCCTGTTCAGAAGCCAAAATTTTTAAGTGATCTTTGAGACAAGACCAGGCTGACTAGGAAGCACACTAGCTCATGAAACCTGAAGTGTCAGGGTAACAGTAAAAACACCAGCTACATTTTGCAAGAGTGGGAGAGCACGGGAAAACAGCAGAAGCAATGACAGAAACTTAACTCAAGGGAAGTTCATCTCCTATTGCAACAACTGGTAAGTCTTCAGTTCCAGATAGAAAAGTTTGGCCAATGTATTTGATTAACAAATACACCTGAGAAAGGTAGTGTTTAACTATTGGCAAGGCTGGGTTTTAATTCTGACCAGGTGTTTCCCATCCCTCTCTGAGATGCCTGAATTAATTCTTTTAACTATATTCAAGGCAAGAAGTTCACAGGCAGCAGTGTTCTTGCAGAGGCTGTGGAGTATTTTTGGTACGCGTTCAAAAAAAGCCACTTGACAAACTACCCTAAACATGGAAGGAAGGGCAATGAGTTTAGAATCATAGAATGCTTTGGGATGGAAGGAACCTTTAAAGGTCACCTAGTCCATCCCCCCCTGCAATAGGCAGGGACATCTACAACCAGATCAGGTTGCTCAGAGCCCCATCCAGCCTGGCCTTGAATGTTTCCAGGGATGGGGCATCTACCACCTCCTCTGGGCAACCCGTTCCAGTGTTTCACTACCCTCATTGTGAAAAATTTTTTCCTTGTGTTCAGTCTAAATCTACCCTCCTTTAGTTTAAAACTATTACCCCTGGTCCTGTCGCAGCAGGCCTTGCTAAAAAGACTATCCCCATCTTTCTTGTAGGCCCCCTTTAAGTACTGAAAGGCTGCAATCAGGTGTCCCTGCAGCCTTCTCTTCTCCAGGCTGAACAACCCCAGCTCTCTCCGCCTTTCTTCATAGCAGAGGTGCTCCAGCCCTCTGATCATTTTTGTGGCCCTGCTCTGGACCCGCTCCAACAGGTCCATGTCCTTCCTGTGCTGGGGACCCCAGAGCTGGACGCAGCACTCCAGGTGGGGCCTCACCGGAGCAGAGTAGAGGGGCAGAGTCCCCTCCCTCAGCCTGCTGGCCATGCTTCTTGTGATGCAGCCCAGGATACGGTTGGCCTTCTGGGCTGCAAGAGCACATTGCTGGCTCATGTCCAGCTTTTCATCTATCAGTACCCTCAAGGCCTTCTCCTCAGGGCTGTTCTCAATCTCTTCAACCCCCAGCCTATATTGATACCGGGGATTGCCCCAACCCAGGTGCAGGACCTTGCACTTGGCCTTGTTGAACCTCATGAGGTTCACACGGGCCCACTTCTCGAGCTTGTCCAAGTCCCTCTGGATGGCATCCCATCCCTCAGGCGTGTGAACTGCACTGGTCAGCTTTGTGTCATCTGCAAACTTGCTGAGGGTGCACTCGATCCCACTGTCTATGTCACTGATGAAGAAGTTTCTATGCTTTTTGTACAATTTTTACTTTTAAGTGAGCTGATAACTGGAGACAAACTAGGAAGCGAGCAAAAGCAACAGAACTAGTCTACTACTTCTTGTACCACTTAGGAGAATTATTTATAAACACAGCACCCATTAGTGGTACATAACAGTTGAAGCTGTACTATGACACATTAGCTTTAGTACAATCTAAATATTCCTGTAGCTAAATAACCGCTTTTTTAGTAATTTAGTAAGATTGCATCTATGTAAAACCATCAATACCTGCCTCAACACACACAAAAGCTGTGTTTGTAGAAAAACCCCATCTCTCAAATAAAACCTGTTAAAGAGAAAAATCAGGACAGTTCTAAGCTCTTCCCAAACGGGGTGTGCAATTTGCTTAATCAGGGAATCTTATCTGCAAGGCAAAAACCAAGTGCCTTCACCCTTTAATTCTTGACCTACTTAGCCATTTTTCAGCATTGTGGATGGACTCTGCATTTGTATTCTGTTTTCATATGCTTCCTGAGGTCTGCATACTTAATCAAAACTAATAACTTCTCCAGGTCTCTAGGAGATGTCATTGGTCTTACCAATTTTGCTACTTGTTTAGAGCTTCTTCCCCAATTTCACCTCCCTCTGCCTCACCCTGCTTTAAACACAGAAGAAGAGTTTGACACATGTTAAGCATTCAATCCTGAAACCGAGAGCTCCAGCACTCCATGTACTCTTGAGTTTAATTACACATTTCCACCACTCCCATGATGAGAGGATCAGTGCACCGGGAAGCAGTTATCTGGCCTACTGCTATCAGAGTTCAGATGAATAACACCCTTAACTCTGCTGTTCTTAACGCTGGATACCACGCTTTGGTAACACAAATAACTCCCATTTCCTGCAGGTTTTTCCTTTTACATTCAGTGTCTACTGCTCTCCCATTGCAGGGATCTAGGAGTTACCGCAGCAGTCAGAAAGCATTGATAACGGCATATCACTTAAAAATAAAAAGAGGAGAGACTTCAAACAAGCAAGCTACTACTTCAGTAAGCAATCTTACCACATTACAAACATTTTCCTCACCCCAGTTTTGGAAAAGAAAGCGGATATTTCTGTAATTGTGCCCACAATTTCTACAAACAGAACTACACAACAGAGACTTATCAGTGACCAATTTAGTCTATGCCAACATTAGCAGGTAGCATGGCTCAGTTGGAGCAGATTTGCAAGCCAAACAGATGGTGCTGAGGACTTGACGCTTGAACTAGATACATTTCTGGTGGTGTTCTCTCCAGATGAGCTCTACTCTCCTACCACGGACTGAGTGTCCAATAGCAACCGGACTGCATCTTCTGATTTAGCTTCATTCAGGAGTCTGCTTCATACAATCAGATTGCTCTACAATGCGAATCAGAGCATGGTAAATGGGGACAAGTAGCTGCTGCTGTGAACGTATCCTTTCTAATACACCTCTTGTTCATAAACTTGTTTGAAAAGTCTTGCATTGCTCTGAATTGTCACAGCTAGTGATACTTTTGTTGACAGCAAACAAGCAGAAGTGTCTAATATGCAGACCGCATTCTTTTAAAAAAACAAAAAAAAACAGCAGTGGCTTCTTCTTTCAACCTGTCAAGTCAAAGCTAACATCTTCAGCTCAAAGTGCAAGCCTAGTTATGCAATACTCTCACTTCTAAACTCACTCCTACGGCGGAGATTGAAAAATTCAGAGAACTGTAAGTAGAAAGAGATGGCATCCTAATAGAAAAAAATACTCTCGAAGTAGTGGCACTTTTCCACTGACAGACATTATAACTTGACACATCACCCTGTTAAAATACATTGGTGTTTGCGCACTCTCCTATATGGCCTAGTAAGATAATTCATGAATATGCCTTCTATCTAAAATCAATATCATTTGACTTCATAAAATACTATCAGACTGCAAATCAGGTTTAGCAAAAGCTTTGAAGACGAAGTTCTAGTAGTTTAGATTTCTGGAGATATAAATTTTTAGCTTCTGACAATTAGGCCTAGTCATTGCTCTCTGTTATGAAAATATTTATGATCATATCCCTTGTCTCATTAGCCCAAGAAAGACGACCCACATTCCCAAACTCTGAGCCAGTGTCATATAGCCTCGACTCCTCTGCTCTCACTGTATTCTTGTCATATAGAGACAATAAGCCTTCTAGTTGAGATTCCACAGACACGGCAGAAAAGCAAGAGGGTTAGAAAGTATTACCAGGATCCCAGTGATTAGCGAAAAAAACCCACCCCAAACCACACCCACAAAAAACTAATTCCTTTTGTGTTTACGGTGAAAGCCATAACATGCATCTAGCAGCCAGGAAAACGTGTCACATTTCCCTTTCTCTAGCCGCCCCCCCCCCCCCCCCCCCCCCCAAAAAAATCAGAGTGCCCTTCCCCCAAACATGTGCCTTCAGAGACAGAGAGAACCGTAATCACTGCAAAGCACTGATGTGAACAACGTAGAGCAGAGAATCTAACACAAGTCTGATGAAGTTGACAGACAGTCAAGAAAGTGAGTCTGTCCTGAAAAATTATTTAAATTGCAATCAAGATGAATTATGTCAAATAACTTCTCCTGAAGGAGAGAGAATTGATATATATAGTTTTGATATGTGTGTATATATATGCGTGCGCGTGTGTATATATATATGCGCTCAACAAGTTTCACAGTTATACACATCCACTCAACGTGATTTGTTTCCAGCTTCAAGCGACAAAACCACCACCTCTTCCAGCTAGAGAGGAGACTTCAGACACTTTCATTCAAGAAGATTTAGAGACTGGGTCAGTTATGAGATGTATAGGCCTAACAGCTCTTTAAAGCTGAGCATTCTCTCATATACACAAAGCAAGCCCGGCTGGAGAGACTACATTCCAGCAGCACCAGATAAACAACTATTCTCTGCCTTGTTGCAATAAGCAAAAGAGCCTGAGGCCTTTCAGTGGAATCGTTCTTTTGGTTCTGGTTGAAGAACCTACTTCTAGTGTTCCTCAATCTCTTCTCTTCCTTGAAGGCTTGATAAATTTGTTACTGTGCCAAGCAGCAAAGTCTGCTGTTGATTTGCTGTTTTCCTCTGCTAGTGCTATACTTCAGCATAGACTCCACTTTGCCTGTTTTTATTCTCTGCAGAACACCTATCAAAGAGTCTGGGAACAGTGCTTTTCTCATCTGTCAGAAGCATCATGCAGTTCAGCTCGCAGAAAAAGTAACCCCATACTTGCTCGTGAAGTACGCCATCACAACCTAATTATCTGCTGCCGTTAGACTATGTTCACCCTCAAGCTCTTCCAGATCCTTCATAGTTGTAGACGGCTGTGCGCTGCAGGATCACCCAGCTAGAGCTATTACTGAGCTGCGCTACGTACAGCCTCTCTATACAAATGCACGTTGTAATCATCTTACGCAGTTCAGAGTTTTCCGAAATCACTATTTCATGTGCATGTTCTGCACATGAAAATATGAAAGATACTAAACTGAAGACCACACAGGGAAAGAAAAGATATTTCAGAAATGCATGCAGGATTTTGATTCATCCTTTTCTCCCACCTGTGAAACTTAAGGTATACAAAAGTGAAACAGAACAAGCCTTTCTTAACCTCATTATCCCACAAAAATAGGGATTTTTATGGACCGACCTTAACAACAAAACAAAAGAAAAAACATACACCACCATAGAGAAAGCAAGTCAGAAGGCCACCAGATACAGTTACATCTCCTAAAATAGGAGCCTTAAGTTTTGCTATTTAAAAAAAGGGCGTGGACACCCAAGCAATCAGACCTTTCATGACTGCCCTGTGGTTTTGTAACTTTTTGTCATGCTAAGGTGAAATAATACAATTCTACAGGTGAACTCAGGCAAATTTTGAGAGGCCTGCTCATAAAGCACATGAAGCATTCTCCTAAAATTAGTTCCACGTTAGAAAGGCAGAGATTCCACTTAAAGCAAGTCTGTTCCCACCCCTGCACCCCCGCCAACACATTCACCACACACGTGCTGGCTACACACTCACATTCTGGACATCATGACTTACCTGAAACAGCATCATAGAACTGCTCTTCACTGATGATGCTGAGAGGCGGAGATCCCTTAACCAGAGACTGCTCTAGTTCATGGTGTTCGGTAGCCAGCGTCTCTAATGCTTCTGACAAGATCTTGTTTTTCTCCTGCTCATGCTCCAGTTTCAAATTCCTCACCTATAAGTAGATACATGTATGAATAAAATCTCATCTCTCCAAAGAATGTGTAGCTGGAAGCTACTCAGAAAATAGACTCTAATAAATAAATAACTGGCAAACAGCTGGAACTGAAAACGTGGATTAATGAGAATATTACGGTATTTTTGTGATGACAATAAGATTGTTACTCAGCATTTTCAGCAGTTGAGAAATCTGAAAAATAACATGTGACAGTACAAATCACAATTTCACAAGTGAATTCAAGCCACTGAGGGGAAATATTTACAGCTCTACTCAGATGACCTTAACTATGGAGTTAGTGATCAGTTTCTACACGCACCAAGCTCCTTGTACTAGTCTGCTCTAATTTGGGCCAAGCAGCATCATCTAAATTGAATTACAGAGCAAATGTGAATGCCAGCTACAAATAACGGCAATTGAACTATGAGCTGAAAACATTTAACCCTGAGGATTACAGGAGGAGGTTAAAAAAGATTCCTCTCCTAACTGATTCAACGTCGATATAAACAGCCCTCCCTCCTCACTCCCAAAACAGTTTACAGAGGAGCCAGAAGCTGACAAAAAAAGCAGCCCAGCCACCAGATGGTGGACCTTTTTTTTTAAGCCCACATATGCAATCGGCTCCAGAGAGGATGATGTTATCCATGTTTTGAGTCCAGGACTAGTAACGGGAGAGCAACACGTCCTTCCTATTTCCTCCTTGGTTTTTTTTGCTGGTGCTTTCCCGCCTCCTCTTTCTGCCAGGGGAGGGGAAGAGGGCTGTAGCTGAAGGCTCAGGACAGGGCCTCTTCTCCCAGCCCAGCAAGGCTTTAATGTGCTACTTCTCCTTCACTCCCTAAACCATTGACTCTCTCTCTTTCTCTTCCTTTCTCTCTTCCAGTCCCTTTTAAAAGCATCCCCAACCCCTGCCTCGTCCTCTAGTTTACTCTCAAAGGTCAGTTTACAACGCTAATTCCCCCTCCACTAAGAACATGCAAGGACATGACAATCTCTTGGAACAGTTACAGGGACAACTTACACACTTTCCTAAGCAACTTACACATATACCAACATTACCTCTTTGAATCTAATTTAAGAACTGTTTGTATGTCCTATCTGGTTACATTTTACATTAAAGCTTTCCTTTGGAGGCTTCAGCCCCCTCCGTTACAACCACCACCGAGATGGTGGATTCAGAGCCGGGCATAAATGAGGGGGTGCAAATTTAGAGGCTAGAAAGGAGATATTAAAGCAGATTTGCCACTTCCAGAGAAGAGTTTCTATGTTGGCAGCAGCATATCCTCTGGAGAAAGATTTATGGAAGAAATTTTCACCCCCTCAGTTGTGCCAAATATTAAAACAGTTGGTTTTCCTGCCAGGCTCTGAGTGTAAAGGGGCAATCCAATTAAATGATAAGTAAAAGAGTATAAAATTGGGTTGCTAATTGAAAGCAATAAAACCGGTAAGTCACTTACTGTCTAATAGTTTTACCCTGAACAAAATGAAAAAAGTCTGGACTAGCTACTGCCACTTTCATTTAAAGTTCACTCTGACAGTACCAACGAAGCCAATTACTGCAGTGTTTCACACCAATCAGACATGCCACTGCGAAAGATCTGTTATTAAGCAGTTTCTGCAGGGGTTACATTTTGTATGCTATCAAATAGTTCAGGAACTGCCCATTTAGAGAAACAGCATCAGCATTTCACTCTCCTGAGAGAGGGAGGGTGGAGGACTGAAAATAAAATGCTACTTTTCATTCTTATTAAACAGCAAAGTGAAACCAGTTATTAAAATGGTATTTGCATTTTTTTTTTTGCAGAATTACATGCCTTTATGCTCTAATGTTTAGTTTTGACAAATGATTTGAGTGATTTAAATCTTTGCCTAAAACTTAAGTTTCAATGTTATTTAACAGCAAATTGAAAGAAAATCAAAATATATCTAACAAAACCCAGATAAACCTTTTTTTGCACCCTCTAAAAGCACGGTAGTGTGACTAAACAAGCAACAACAGATACAGGCTTAAGACACCATGCCTCCCCAAAAAAGTCTTTTATTGAGTTTAAGGTTCCTCTGCTCTATCATAATGTAGGGCTATTCAGAATTGCAGAAGGTATACTAGAAATTCCCTTTCTGAAAATAAATAGCCAGTTTTACAGTAAAGTTTACTTTTCTGTGTACTTCCAGGCTTCCTAGCTGCCAAACACTTACTAGTACAGCAATTACACACTAGTAATAGGTAACAAAAAAAAAAAGGTTTTACTATCATTATTTGACTGATTTCACCTGTAGAAAAGCAATGCTTGCAGAGACAGAGCTAGTACAACCTTCATGCACTCTACTTAAAAATACAGGTATCACTGGAGAAATAACCTTGTTTGAAATAAGCATACTGGGTTTTTTTATTATTTAAACACAAAGCAGCTTTAAGTGATACCATGATTTTGTCACCTTGTCTTTTATTATTGACAAGATAAATCTCCTTTAACCCTTCTTGCAGTAATTTGGCTGTAAGGCAGGATGTTTTGGTTTTTTTTTTTCCAGAGCCACACACTCCATTCTTCCAAGCTTAGCAAGAAATACGCAGGCAGACTGGCACTATTTTCAAAGCATAAGTTTATTGAACAATGTAACTGACCGAGTGATAGGTTTTCCCAAAATGTAAGTAGAAGATTGCTGTTATGCATAATTTTGCCATACTCTATTTTTCATTCACAAGACTTGGCCAATGATGAAGTTCTGAGGTGAATTATTCCATCTTCCTGACTACACCACCACCATTTTTGGAGATGACACTTCAGCTTTACCCGTTTTCCCCAAGTTTTTTCTTCCCCATCCTGTCTTTCTTTAGTGTCCCAACACATAAACAACTGCAAGATTACAGAAGGAATTGCCAGACCAGTCTTAAAAATGCTTATTAACATAAAATCTTTAGAATCTATGTATAAAGCAGGAAGATGAGCATAAAATGACGAAGAAAACACCCACTTTCAGATGCATATGCATTTCAGTCTATTAAACTGGATGCGGATAGACCAACATTTTTCAATGGAATATCATCTGATTTTGTGAAGTTGCATTAGCTTACTGCACCATTTTACACAGTGACGCAAATATTTATATAAGGTAGTAAATACCACACCAAAATGATGCAGGGATCAGTGTATACACAGCTCTGGAAATCCAGTCTGAGCACACCCAGGAAAATATCGGAACAAAAAAAGAAGAGACATTTTATTCACAGGCACAGCTTGCGATACAGCCGTGGTTTCTGTACCTTTAGTAGTGGTGCCTAAGCTGAGAAAGAGACAGATGGCAATTCACATCGTACTGGGTTCAGCTCCTCATCCTCCAGCTATGGAACTGCTGTCATCTTTTTGATCCCTGTCACCGGTCCCCGCAATGCCAGTGCCACCATCAGTGTTATAAGCTTTCCACTGAGCTTCACAGAGCGCTCTAGCGAGCCCAGCATGAGGCCAGCTGAGTTCCCAAAGTTCACCTGGTCAGGCTTCCTACCCTACCCTTGTCAGGAGCTATTCTGCACTAGGGTAATTACCATCATCAATAAAGTTGGGCTTGTGCTTGCACTGTTACACAATTACAGTTAAGATCAGTCTTGTTTTCATCTCTAAAGAGAGTATTATTACAGAGAAACTTCAGATTTATAATTGCTGATGGAAACTATCTAGCTTTGTCTCACAGAAGTAAACAATCACTCAATCCGTACAGCTACAGACACAGCTATAACCTGATGCACTGACACAGAACCACCAAGACTCCAGTATCTAGGTCAGTGCAACAATTTTTTTTTAAAAAAAAACTTCTCCAGCTGAAGAGGTTTGATATCCAAGTTCTGGTAACTGGTTTCACTTCTGGTTTCACTGAATGGGAATGTGCTTCCAACCGCTTCCCATAAATATTTGAGTCCTTCAGGCAGTAAACACCGACTTGTGAGTTTAAATAGTAGAATTGAGTTATTTTAGCAGTCAGACCTCTATTTTATTTTATTAAAACGAAAGCAGCAAGCTATTTGCAGACACTTCTATTGTCTTTCCATGCTATTAGAAATCCTGCTACGCACAAGAGCATCGTTTAAAAGTTAACTCCTTCAGTGCATATTACTAGCAGAAAGTTCATGTGCTTATTCCAAAATATCAAAAAGCTTATCTGTGTGTAACAACACCAGTCCCATTCCTTTCTGTACCTTCAGCTTCCATGAGGTAGGTGGGAGACTAGTAGCATGCACCAAACCGCTAATTTTTTTTTTTTTTTTAAAGCCTGAAGACTTGAACTATATTGGTGCAGCCTGTAACGAAGGCTTCTCTGTCATCCTGAAGACATCTCAGTACAATACACAAAATACTTGCTTTGTTCGGTGCTGGATGCTTTTAATTTAAATTAATGCCCGACAACAGTGGCACTTTTGTGGGGCAGGAAAGGGTCACACCACTGTATGCCCAGCTAATAAATGATCATCTCAGCAATGTGCTATTGCAGCTGCAAGTAAATCCTAGAAACAGCACATAGCAAGCAAAACACAGAACAAATACAGACACCTCAACAATATGTAGGGCTACCTGCCTTTAACATTAGAACAGTAAATTAAAAGACAGCATACCTTAGCTCTAGGTTCTCCTGGACTGAGAGAGAGAAAAGACAGACTTCACAACATTGCGGTGTGATTTAGTTGAATTTTACTTTCAAAACACTCAACTTCAGTGTTAGAAATAAGAATGCCCAAAATATGCAGACTCTCGAGTTGTGTAGGAAGAACTACCTCTTTCACATAGCAACCACCAGGGGATCTGAAGCCAGACTCTGCCGGAGCGTCAGTACGCCGTGTACCAATTCTGCTCTGCAGCAAGCTGAGTGCAGGAAAGCAGCCTATGACACTGCCTCGCCAATGCCTCTGACTACTCAGAAGTGGGGTTTTGGTTTTCAAAATGAATGGCTTTGTCCAACTGCCACAGAAATTCTATCCTCCCAAAAACGTCACCACATATGGGACATTTGCC